TATGATTTTATTTTATGACAGCACACACACACACACGCAACCTTCATAGTACCCCTCTTCGCATTGTTTTTCATGCTTTTGTTTTAGCCTTTTTAAGTCATTGCTTCCTATTATTTTGTTATTAAATTACATTAAATTGCTTTGACTTCAGGACACGCGTGTGTGTGTGTGGGTGAGAGACCTTTCAAAGTTCAAAGCGATTGACAGCCTGCTCTCAAATTCCATCCCATTAAAAGCTGATTTTGTCGTATTACATTTGATGTGATGATTCTTTATTATTAATTTTTGGTTGGGTTGGACGTTTCTTCGTAATGGATAATAAATTGTGGTTTTACTCTCATTAAAATGAATTACCTGTGAAAATAAATACAATTTATGTAACAAAGCTACCATAATAGAAAAAACAATAGATTTTCCAACTAACTTGGTAGAAAGCTAAGAAATCATGAAGCTAAAATATAAGATTAAATTAAATTTTAAACCTGAATTTTTTTTTTCCCCCTTTCAAGTTTTAGAACAATTTTTTGTATGTATTTCTATACGTATTTTCCTTAAAATTAAATTGTACTTAACTAATGGTAGTTTAAAGTCCTTGTAGCTTCCTTCGATCTTGATTGATTTGCTATAACGACCACCAATCGTCCTCTTCGACTGTCCGGCCATCCCGAATCAACTCGTGCACACATTGTACTATGCTATCAAGAGGCCCAGCAACACATTGCCAAATTACGACTTGATTATCTCGCCTAGCCATCGCTTAACAAAAGGCAACAATTATCTTAATGCCAGGTGCAAGAAATTAATGTCCTGTAAGCACATTTCAACACAATATAACTAACGAAGACTGGGACTATGACTGCGACTATGACTGCGACTATGAGTATAACGATGTCATCGCACTTAATCTCCGATAAAGGCGTGCGTCCTTTGTCCCCCTTTCATAGGCAGAGAAGAGCAGCAAGTGAACAACAAAATATAGATTAGAGAAAAGGTAGCGACAAATCGTAGCCTGCCAGTGGAACCAGGACATGACTTCGAATGCCTTAAACCCATTACGGAAACTCCTCGTGGTCCTTTTCTCTGTTCTTTTTTGTTTTTTGTTTTTTTGCTACCTTTCTACGCTTCGTTGTCGTTGGGTGTCATCTATTTGTATTTTTATGTGCTTACTGTCAACAAAATAATTGACTTACATTGTGTTTGCAGGGGTTAGCTGTGAGTGGTCCGAGTCGACCGGCCAGGTGGGTAGCTGTTGACATCTTAAGTGAAAGGAAGAGTAAGTGTCAGAAAACCGGAAATGTTTTAACTTATATTCAGCCAGAAGAAAGGATGGTACTCCACATAAGGCGAATAAAGGAGAGCAGTCAATTTTAATAAGTAAAATTGGTACTCCAATTAAATAATTGGATTCATGGCTACAAAAGCACGGTCTGACAAAAACTCTATTAAAAAAAGGACAAGAAAAATACATTATTAAAACATTTATGCACCATCAATAGACCCACAATGATGATAACATAGTACATTGTTGCCAAAAAACGAGAAATGTCTATTAGTACATTGATTAAAAGGTCGAAGCTATATATGAAACTTGAAATATGAAATTTATTAAATAGCATCTAAATCGTCATAAAACCTCATAAATCACAGAAATGATTACTTAAAATCAACTAGCAAGTCATAGAACCTCATGGAGTTCTTCGTTCTAGTTTTATTTAAATTTATATACAATAGTTAAAAGCTGGTTGACCCAACATGATTATCTTGTAAGCTTAGCAAGGACTAAAAAACTTCTAAATAGTCGTTTGCCACAGCCTACCTTTTTTTTTATAGCTTATTATTTGGTACACAATATTTGTTTCTTTTTTTTTATAGCTTAATCGCGGGCATACTCTTAGCTTAATGCGTTTCCAATGCATTGAGCCACAGCAATATACAACAGAAATCGGTGAAACTTTTACGAGTTTACCAGTGAAGTCCACCTGTTCAGCATACAAAACTAGGTGGCATTTTCCCTTTGACTACACCCTATCATATACATATACATGTACATATACCTATCCATACTACCGACAATATTTGGTGCGTGGGGAAACCAATTTCCTTGGCGTAGCACTTACTGCTATTTTGGTAATATGACCATTTTATGACTCACGCATGTGTAGGCGTTTGGCAGCAAAAGGGAGGTGCTAAAGCTAAACACGTACTACAGGATGGGGCAGCCTTCAACGCTGGAGAGTAGGCAGATGAAATATGTGCACAGCAGCAGCACCTGCTTTTTTTTTAATGAAACAATCTCTGCAAATATGATATTTTGTATGCAAACATGCAAAATATTGTTGCGGGCCCCACGAAAAATAAGAAAAAAAAGGTAGAAAAGCGCACTCGTCGTAAAAATAAATAAGCCAAGGCCCATGCTGAGCCATGTTGGAGGGTTGGAAACGGTGGCCTACCTGCGTCTTACGTAAGAAAATAAATAAACAAATATTTGAGTTGACAATAAGCTGCGCCAAGAGAGTAAAATATACTGTACCCCCAAGAAAATTATTTTTTCGGGAAATTCGAGAGATTAACAAACGTTTAAAAGTGTACTCCATTAAGATAATAAATCTTAATCTTAAATAAATGTAATAAATAATGGTATAATATAGTAATAAGTTATCGTTCATATTTTTTGCGATATAACTGCCACTTTGTTAAATTACAAGTCAAGTGGACCAGACTCCAAGCACTTAAAGTCAAAAGATTCACATTTTTAATACATCAAACCTTTGAGTTAAAAAAGCGTAAATTGTCAGCTGAATTCTAAATAAGAACCCATTTATGTGTATATATACATGTACATGTGGGTTTTTGTCAATTATTTACCAGCAACCCCCAAAAAAAAACCTTGTTACTTCGTGTGGCGGCACTCAATACTCGTTTGAGATATTGTATATCAATAATTCAATATTTATTTTCATTTTTGTCGCAATTTTCGGTTTCTTATTTTGCAGCTCAGATGAAAGTCGTAACGAGGAAATTTAATCTTTTTTCACGTTGCTTTTTTGTATCTTCACCTCCTGGCATTTCACTTCCTTGTTCTCATCTCTCTTTTTTACCCAAAAAAAATATACGGCAATATTTTTTGTTTTCGTGGAAGGAGACGAAAACCCAATTAGTTGACGATGACGACGTTGATGCTGGCATTTGACATCACAGTAAACGAAACTGACTGACTGACTAGACCTTTTTGCACCAGACACCAATTGAGATATCCACTCCAAATTGTATTTAAAAAATAAATAAAATGGTGGTCATCTATATGTTTGATTCGCTCAGGTTTCCGTTTCTGGTAACTGATAATCAAATCAGAATATAATGGTGGACAAAACTAGATTGACTTTTTATTTATTTATAACTAGGTTTAAGGTTTTTTATTGTCGATTTTCGAGTGGAAAGTTATTATGTTTCGTGATCAAAGTATTGGTGGTTATGAAAGTCAGAATCTTAAGATAAAAGAAACATTTGCAATCATTCAATTATCTCTTATTTTAAAATTTAAACTACAACTCTGATTAATTTTATTTCAAAAAGCATTTATTGTATCAGTATCAGTTTCAAATTAAGTAAAAAGGCATAAACATTATGTTTGCCATCTTTAAAACTTTGCATTGCGCTTATCGTGTTTACTACTCTGTCCTCTTTCTGCCGCCCACAAATCTATATGGAATGTCGAACATTGCCGTCCGCCTTGTGGCCACCCCACTAATTACAATTTTGTGCCCTGATATTTCTCAGGCTTTTCTCTTTGGTCATTTGCACACTTTACATGGCTCCGTCTTGTAGTCCCAGCGGAGGACGACATTTGTCTGGTTGTCCACCGATGTGTCCTGCAGCCATATTATACCGCCCAACGTTTCCGTTTCCTCCTTGGCTACCAGCCCAGCCCAGTCCAGCCCAGCCCAGCCCGCTTTTCCAACAAAGCTGTCAACAAATTAACTGTGACGCTTATGGGGAAAGCGAAGCGGACATATGGATGGGGTCTATAAAGGGGGGAGGGGAGGAAACGGAGAGGAAACTGTTTTCAGGACGATTGGGCTCGACATGCTTGGCATGTTTTGTTGCCCAGTTTTAGGCGAGAATATGTGTCGTAAATTTACCCCCACATTTCCCAAAGGATCCAAAGTGCCAGCTGCTTTTACCCACAAATATTGAACAATTAGCTTAGCTCATAGCAAACATTTACTGGTGATTTAAATTTTTCTCCGCCATTCTGTCCACCGGGGAGTTCTTTAAATGCCCAACAATATATCTCATTTAGAGACCCTTTCATTGTGTCTTAAAGAGCATTTGCAATTCTACGTTATTTTTGGATGTTGGCAATTGCTGGGTCTTATAAACGATATATTCTTTTTTATATAAATAATTCTTGTACGTGTGGTAATGATGCCGACACGTGACAAGGCGACAACTGGGGAGTGAAAAATGCTGCAGACAGAGCGTAAAGTAGACAAAAGGCGCTGAAACCAGATATATATTTTTCGGCAATATTTATTATGCCAGCCTGCAAAGGTGTATAAATTTGCATGAGAAACTGCTGCTGGGAAGAAAGAAACTCAGAAACGGCGTCTGTGTACGTTTGAGATTCTCGAGCAGGAGAAGAGCACTGCATAAACAAATAAACAAACAATACATAAATTTTTGAGACCAACATGAAGTGAAGGTGGGCATCTTGTGCCAAGCACGTTCTCCACCTTTTTTCCATTCAATACCTTGCCGCCTGACAATGTTCCTGGCTTTTCGATTTTGTCCTGCTGAGCTCCTTGACTATTGTCCCTGCTTGTGCGGTTTTGCCGTGGCTTGACATTGGCTTTGATAACAATAATAATCATAATAATAAGAGCCTATAATAACAATCATTTTGTGACCCCTAAATGGAATTCACCTTGGCTCAGGCCCAACCCCACCTTCCATTAAAGAACACACTTCAGGTTATTTTTATAGACTGTATATTTTATTTTATTTCTTTTACAAAATTGCATTATTTATGGCAATATTTATATTTATCACAGTGTTGAAAGGCCATACATCAATGTCGTCTTAGAGGTATCTGCAATAAAGAGGGAATGAAAATACGCATAAAATTAGAACAAATGTTTATTCACACTTAATAATATATATTTTTTGTATATCTTTTATTTATAGGTGATGTTAATAAAGCCAAATCTTCTGTAGCACCGAGAGAACAGAAAAATATAAAATATGGTTATGTTTCAAAACGTGAGTATTATAATTTAAATAATGCAGGTACTTATATTTAAAGAACTCTAATTATATCATGTATAAAACTGAGAGATATGCAGTAACTTAAAATATACACAAACATCAGTAAGAATATATACTTGATTCTTAGACAACCGAGTCTAATATGTGTAAAAAAAAATGATTTTATATTTCAGAATTCGAAAGAAGCTATTATAAAGGGATTATTTTAAAGTGTTTTAATAACAAATTAAAACAAATAAAAGTTTTTATTGTTTCCTTATAAATCAAGGAATATGTACAACTATAAAATGCTGTTTGCCAAATAACAAAATAGGGATGAGCCGCTGGCCGTCCGTTAAAAATGTTATTGCTGTCTTTTAATATATGTAATCAATACAATTTAACTTGATTTAAAGTGTAAAGAAAATACCAATTTAAATTCTCATTGAGGCAGCATTTTAAAAATTTTTTTAAAAATTTGTAAGTGTGTTTTTTTAGGTTTTGTTTTATTTTTGTAATAATATGTAATACTTTTTGTTATTTATTAGTATCTTTTTTAACGTTTTTTCTTTAATAGCTTTAATATCTTTATGTTTTATTCTTGAAAAGCTTTTGCAAATCACCTTAAAAAGTTAAAAAACTATTAGTAACGAGTTTAATTGACCTGTAAACATTTAAAAATACATTTCACAATGAAACATTTATTTATTATTACAATATGAACTTTCTTTCGTTTTTGAAGAGGGTTTTTTATATTAAAATATTGATGCAAATTTGATCAAGTGACCAGCAAAAAATGTATAGTAAACATTATAATGTTTTCACATTGGTCATGCAGAAGTTTTTCAGTTGGCTATCACATTTTCATCTCTTGCTCATTTGTCGGAGCTTGTCAAATCCGGTCAACAACTTAGCTCACTCTGAGCTCAACCCAAGGGATTTATTTTCTAGTGTCCCTCTTTTTTTCGATTATCAATTCGCATACGTGCCAAGGCATGCTTGAGAAAGCTTTTCAAGTGTCTAGACTTCTGACAACTATGAATTGAATGCAGCCAACAGTATTTCTGCCCAAGAATATTTGCCTTTCGCTCAAAGGACCCTGGGAATGAGTTAGGGTGATTTGGAGCTGCTCCGAAAAGGACGAAATATCCTGGCTTAATTACTGCGTTTGGTAGGAGGGGAAGGGGGCCTCCAATCGAACTGATTTGATTGTGGACCGGCTCGTTTAATGCAATATTCCCATAAAGAAGCCTTTGTGTGTGAGGGCGAATGCGGGCCCTTTGAAAAACTTTGTAAACCGGTCAGGGATATCCTTGTCATACAGCACACACACAAAAGCAACAAATTAAACTGTTCCTATTTGCAAATGAATTGTGCGTGGCGTAATTTCGCAGAAAACTTTTTAAGGGATAAGGCAGGATCGATGTGATGGCTTGCGCCAGGCACACACGTTCCTTCCGCTTGAAATAAAATAAGTAGTATAATACAGAAGGCAACTTCTCTGGCACCGAAATTGAAATGAAAGAAAAGGATTCTTGGGCGAAACAAAAAAAAGTCTTTGTATCTCTGCTGATATCTCTTTGTGCGTGTCCTTCTGTGTGTGTGTTTGTGTGTGTGTAAGTCTTGGTGTCCTGGCCGTAGAAACTTTTTGTGAGGGCCTGGGTCCGGGTCTTTTCTGGCGTTTCATACGCTCAATTGCTGGTGGTTAGCCGAGCCCGGCTGCGTGTTCTGGTCGACAGTCAATTGAAAATGAAATTGGTAAAAGTTGGCAGAAACAGAACCAAAAACTCGAGCCACCGCCTCGATGTGTGTGTGGCATCGGGGCATCTGTTCTTTTGAGATGTCGATGGGGGGCAGACAGAGTGGGAGTTACGTGCGGACAAGCATGCATAATGAGCCCCACGATCCTTTCACCTGGATGCGGGTTACCTTTGCAAATTAATACTAAAGAGACGCGTAAAAGTATGCAACGCCAAGTAGCAAGCTGCTACGTGCCTGTTGCAGGGTGTCCTTCTTACACCGAACTCTTGTTTTATGAATACTTTTCCCTACTTTACTCTTTGATCATAAACCACAAAAAAAAAAACAAATGTACGAAAGTTGCTTTGTTTGGCGCATATTTCATCAATGGACACGTCCTTGTCTTGTTGGGAATTTTTATAGATTCCACTTTTGAGTGCATTTGCTTGTTGCGTTACCCTCTATTCTGCTTGCTTTGTCATTTTTTACGATTTATCGGCGAACAGTTTGGCTCGCCAACACTTTGTGACATATTGTTGAAGACTACGTTTGGTGCAGAAAAGACAACGTTTTTCCTTCCCAAAAGGGATTTGCAAGGAAACGTTTTAGAGTGAACAAGGTGTGTAGTTCGCCACAGATAATTGAAAAACGCTCTAAATCCGTGTTTCTTTTTAAGGTTTGATGTTCATTTTGTCACGGTAGAAAGAATAAAAAATGTTTGTGTTCAAAAGAACGCATTATTTTTTAAGAGAAATTGCAAACAAAGATTTTCACAAAAAAGTAGAAGCTTAGAAAACACTTGTGTGTGCGGCTTAAAGAATATTTTTGAGTTTGCATTTATATTTGCATTTAAAGCGGAACTGATATAAACAACTGTTTAGGGCAGACTTTTCGCATCTTTAATAAAATTAAAAAATAATTGGTCAAACATTTATTAAACGCCGGGAAAAAAAACTTGTAAGCCCAAGTTTTAATAAAAAGTGGACAAGTTTTAATTATATTTGTGGAATTGGTCAATGTTATGTGGCATTAACCTTATGATTAAGAATTTGAATTTAAGATTATTTTTCAAATAACACATGTCAATCAAAAAAAATTTTTGAGTTATGTTGCCTGTCGATTAGAACATATAAATTTTGATGTGAAATTGTTGTAATAAAATAATATACAAAGTGTACATTAAATTCGTAAAATAAGATCAAATATACTTACTTTTCATACAAAGTCCAGAAGCTTACAGAATTATTTATTCAGTCATTGAAGTAAGAAACTCTTCCCCGCTGACATCTGAAAAATAGAAAAAAAAGGTTTGACTTAAAAAGAATAGAAAGTTTCCAATGTGGTATAAATTGCGGAAATATAAATTATTCTTCATTTCTGATTTCTGTGGAGAATTTTGTCAATGCTAATACTGTTTACTTTTACATTTTCCTAATTTTATTTGCTATTGATAACGGAGACATTTTTTCCGTTTGCAATTCAAAGTTTTTAGGTTCGAAATGGGATACAAATGATATTTTATTTTTTTTCTGTTTTATCTTTTACCGAATATTTATGCAAATGAATTTGACATCGAACATTCTCATCTGGAATTGGATTTTAGTTTTTGCTGCATATTTTGCAAGCGAATATGTATGAACATGCCGATTGGGCTGGTAAAGTTGTTAATCCTAATAAATGGTGACATGGTAATTGTTTTTCAATAGTAAAACAAACAATAGGTTGGCCCAAAAAATGTAAAATCCCTTTTGTCATTTTAAAATTTTTGCCTGCCAAAAGTAAATTCAAATGTCAAATGTCTATTTTGTTTGTAAGTTTCTAATTTTATAACTAATTAAATACCCCTTTAATCTCAGATGTTAAAAATCAAGTTTTCTGAACCGAGGTTAATTTATAAGTTTTTTTGATGCCATTGTAACACTAGGTTTTACTGCGGCTTTAATTTTTAAATAACAACATGTGGTAAAGTGATTGACAAACAACCACACTTCGCGGTTTCAAAAAGAATTTACGTGTTATTTATGTGGCACTTAAACAAATTAATCAGTTCGATTTTTATGTTTATCACTCTCTAATTGCATTTATTGTATTGTAGGAATTTTACGGACAGTCCCGCAGCCCCTTTATTTTTGTGGCATTATTAGCAAACGCACTCTCACACAAAAGAAATCGCACATAAAAATTTATTACGCCACGCCCACCACTCCGAACACCTCCCCCATTGTTCCACGTTAAATCCGCATAAAAACAAATAAAAATACGGGGGCCGCGAATGTAACGAAAACAAAAAAAAAAAAGAAGAAAAGTAATAATATCTTTGTGGCGGGATACTCACATGAGCAACAAATGCAGTTCATCGGCAGATCCTCCACTTTCTTGGCTTTTTGTTTGGGCATTTTCCGAGTTTTTCCCACGGCGGCTGTGTCGTTTACATATCGTTTCGTTTTTGGCCCTCTTCTCCATTTTCTGGGCCACGTTGCGCTGTCTAAACGATTTACGACACTTTTGCCAACTGCCTGACGCACACATTTGCAATATTGTTTGTTTGTAAGTTTGTGTGCGGGGGCGAGTGTATGTGATATTAGCATTAAACAAACGCACACACAAACATACACAGGAGTAGGAGTTAACTTGGCCAAAAGGCAACACAAAAATGCCACACACGTTCGTTTTTATTATGTTAAATGTCTCCTGGGGCCTCGAACATCAGCATCTGCAAGTTGTTTCCATCTGTTTAGGTCTCCTTTCTCCTCTCTCCTTTCTCCTTTATCTTTTCTCCTTTTCTTGGCTTTTGCTAACTGTCACTTGGCTTGGCACATTTCACATTCACTTAGACGGCAGGATTAAAGCAGCAGCGCGCCAAAAAGTAAGCTTCCCAGCTAAATTAGCACACGACAATTGGTTCTCGTATTTTTGGGATCTGCTCTGGTTTGGTTTTCCTGCGAATTGTCCTGTTCGATGCGTCCTTTCAGTCGATTTCAGCTTACTGCCCGCCGCTCCAGATGAAACTGACGACTGGCGAACGACGGTCAAAGTCAAAGGCGGGTTTTTCGTGCACGCGATTCGTTTTTCACCTTCGTCGGTGAGTTCGGCTGTCTTGAAAACGAACATTTCCGATATATCATCGTTGAAAGCTCATTTTCAAACTCATCGAACTCTCTTCGAGTGCGTCCTTGCTGGGAAGGACTGAGTTGCTCTTGGCTCATCACAAACTGTTCTCTTTGGTCTCACGTACCTGCTGGAATTGCTCCAAATCCTATTTTGAGTTGAGTAATGAGACAAAAGTCCCTGTTAAGGTTGAGTCTTTCAAATGAGTTAACAGATCTCATGATAGCCATTTCTCTTAAGGTCTGCAAAAAACGAGTCGATTATCCCAGCTTAAATGACTCAAATTTTAATTTCGAGTTGTGCCTAACGAGTTAAAACTGAATTTTAAAATTCAAGAGAATTTTCTTGAGCACTCCAGTGTTAACTCAATGTTAAGGAAGGTATTTTATTTTAGATTGGTCTTCTGCTTAAAAGAGCAAAAGCTCTTAATTAAATTTAAAAGAAATGTGAAAATTATCAATAATTTTAAAAGTTTGTTTCTATTAAGTGTATGTATTTTTAAATACAAAAATATTTCTGCAGACTATGTTAATATTGTTTGAGATAAATATATTGACAGAGCTTCTACAGACAGAGCTGTACATCCCACATAAAACCACTCCAATTGTTATGCTCTTAACCTTTTTTACGAGTGGTTAAGGAAACTCAGCTTTGCTCCGTGCGAAACTTATTTTTTGAGTGGATGGCACTATTCAAATTTTCTCTTTCATCGCTCACACGTTCGGCAGGCGATTTTGCTCGGCTTTTTTGCTCTCTCGGGAAATCCACCACACTGGACTCGGTCGGCGCATCCTCGTGTTCGCCAAAGGACTCTTCGGGTCGAGTGGCGACACACAAACGCACACACTTGACTCGAGGAAAAACACGAGCACGGCGGCTCCGAGCCTTGGCCAATCGTAAAAGTTTTGTACGTATTTAGTACAATTTCGGGATTTGGCAGGATGTAACGAACGTGTAAGAAACAGAGCGCGTCCCATTCACCGTGTGCGATAATCAACAACAAGCGACGCGACAACGAATTATATATTTATATATTTGAAAAAAAAAATCGCTAAAAATTTAACAAATCGTTTGGAAGCCACTTTCAAGTGATATAACGAAATATACGGATATATAATGAAATAGCAAAGAGAAAATCTATAGAAATACGCCGGCACAAGTGATTTTAGTCAAGTTAAGCATAAACCAAATCGTCGAAGTCTTCGGCTTGCCTCGGTTCTACAACGCTCCCCCCGCCCCCTTTGTTGTACTCGTATGTGTACTTGTTTTTGCGAGCGTGTTTTGCCGTAAGCCGGTTAAAATTTTTCTGTAATTACACCACCCACAAGCTGGGCTAAAATTCCCGTGAAACATAATTAACGAAGAACAACTGAAGCCGCCGATACAATTACCTTGGCAAAAAAAATCGGTAAAATCTAAAGAAGAAAATTATCAAAGTCAGAGCCTTTGCGTGTGTGTGTGTGTATTTTTGTGTTTGTGTGTTGACCTGAATGGATGGCTTTATTTTTTGTATAAATAAAGATAAAGTCCTTATCGCTTGGACCAGCTAATAAGAAACGCCAATCTTGTCTCTCTCTCGAGATGGAGATTGAAACGATTGCAGAGGGAAGAAAATCTTTTTTATTTCGGGGTCCTCCCCATCTTTTCTTCAATAATAGTGTCGTTTCCTTTATTTGTCCTTTTATGTTTACCTTTTTTTTTTTTGGTGTTTCCTCGTTTCGTCGTGGTTTGGTTTAGTTTGCTCGCACACAATTGAAAATTCAATTGATTTACAAAATGAAGTTTACTGGTCGGGACCGACAGATACTTTTTATCTATTTTCATTTGCAGTTTTACGAGCAGCAAACATTTTTCTTTTTTTTTTTGCCTTACTGCCTTTGGCCTTACTTGGTTTTGGCTTAAAGCAAAACCGTTGGCAATTTTTCACAGTTCTTCTTTTGCGATTGGAAGGGCCTTGGGGGCCATCTGCAGTTTGGTGCGAAAATAACGCTGCGTCCAAGAAGGATTGTTGTGGCTGATGTTTTCGTTGGTTTCCGATTCGGGTGTGCCGAGTGTGTGTTTGTGATTGGAGCGGCCTAAAATCGTTTTAGGACCAGCTGCGAAGTGATTTTCAGCAACCAAAAAAAAAAAGAAAAGGGACTGCAGTGTGTGCGGAAAGTGGGCTCTGCAGATTGACATAGTTATGTTCTCAGCGAGTAATGGGAAATCCTTGGCAAGAGCTCAAGAAAATTTAAGTTTTCTTTTAGGCTGACCTCACAAGTGCTAAGTCCGTTTTTATATTTTATTTAAAGCGGACTGGCGAATTGATGTTAGACTTTAAGCTCAATAATTTCATTTTAATTAATAAACTAAGTGATTCCTTGAAACAGTAAAACGGTTCAGTATTTTTATTGAAATAAATGTTTGTGCGATTGTGTCAAAGAATTGGATAATAATCAAACGCCTTTTTTAGTTTGCTAGCATAAAGCAACAAAGTTTTTTTTTAACTCTGAGAAGCCAGAAATATACGATAAACTGAATAGCTTTCTTTGAGGTCTTATGATTGTGCTATCCGATGAAAAAATGTACAGTTTAATGAATGCAAACTATACAGCAATCTGGTTATTGCTGAATATTCTAATTGAAGCTCATTTAAGTTTTAATGTAAATGCTTCCTTAATGCTTGCTAAAGTGCTTTTGGATATAAAGTAATGCTTTTTAATACTCCTTTACTTTGTGGATTCGTTTTAAAATGTTCACATTAAGGATAAACTCAAAGGCTGAAAATAGTATTATACAGCTCAACGTAACATGCCTTTCACTTCTTGCCTTAAGAAACTTTCCATGTTTTGGTGTCAAGTGTTTTTATTAGAACTGAAAGCAGAAAAGCAGAAAAATTGCAGGCTAAGGCAGGGATGTACCAATTTTCTTTTCATCAAAGTTTTCAGTCAAACGTGAGAGAAGGTTCGTAACAAAACCCGTTTTCCTGTGCCATAGTAATATAATGCGCACACGCCATGTATAATGAATGCCCGAAATAGCCTGCATATTTAAAGAGGGCTTTTGTGGTGACCAGAAATCATAAGATCTTGTTGTCAACAGCTAAAACATTTGAAGCCACAGACAAATTTATGGCTACCATTAACCTAATTGAAACGATATCGGTTGATATATCATTCGAAGGCTAAAACATATATGTTACGTGGCTAATTGGGTGCTGACCAACCAAAGATTACAAGGCAATTTGTTTATTATATTAAAATGTTGACGGTTATTGTTGTTTCTAAAAATAGATCGAATTACTGAAAAATGGGGGAGCTTAATTTTAATTTTTTTCAGTGAGTAATAATAATAGAGAAATGGTGAAACTAAATCCACTCCCTTGAGCCTTATGAGTCTGAGCTAAAAACACAATTTCGAAGTACCCTCTTCTGTCTGTTCAAATAGCGTTTTACCAAACGTTCGTCATGGCGTGGCTGAGCTATATATAAGTATATATATATCTTTATAGGTGGCTGATCGGCCACGCCCACGCTTTCACTGCTGTTGTTGACGTTTACAATTTGGTGTTGAAAACTTCAGCCGGCAATTGGGTAATACTTGCGATGATGGCGTTGGTTGGATGACTGCAGCAATCCTGCATTAAGTACCCGCCTGTGTGTCGGTGTGTGAGCGACGATGGGGTTTTGCAACAAAGAAATTTTAATTTATATAGAATGAGTTGGGGGCGTTGGGAAGTTGTAGTACCTTTCGGTCCCTCAGCAGTCGTCAACATTCCGATGTTCGTGTGCTGTTCAGTGCTGTGCTCACAGTGCACTCACTCACTCACTCACTCACTCGCACATGCACACCAAAAAAAATCCAATTATTTTAAAACTTTTGACAACTGCAACAACAACCAGGCGATGCGATGCGATGCGAGGCTATGAAAACAATAAGAAAACTGACTGCCAGCCAAAGGCAACAAAAACAATATATAGGAGAAAGTCGAAAGTCCGCAAAAAATCAAGCAGAAAAGAGTGTGAGAATGGTTGAAAAGGGTTGCCAACCATTATAACTTCACTTGAAAAGTTTAATTGATTTTTACAAGTGCATGTATATGTATGTTTGTGGATGGATGAATGTATGGCAAGGGATTTTGTGGGGGTCAGCCTACATACTACCTGCAGTCGTGGTATTTTCAGCTTTTTCCAGCTTTTTTCGTTCAGCTAAGTGGGTCTATAACTTGGTGTAAACAAAGTAGATTCCGGGGGTAGAAAAGAAATCAAAAGCAGTATTGCCTCATGAACTGAGGTGCAAATTTGTTAGGCTCTTCCAATTGGTTTGGTTTTATTTTTTTTTTTTTTTTTTTTTTCTCTTCTGGCTTGTTCAATTCTTGCCTGACTTTTAAGTTTTTCTTTTGGCTGCTAAACCTGACTTTTTAATTGCTGCTGAGTGTGCTCCTGTTACTGTAATTATTGGGTTTGCCTTTGAGGGATTTGCTTTTAGGTGATTGCCTTAATGAGTGCTTCACGTTAGGCAAAGAACTTGGAAACGATGCAATTTACCGTGATTAACTTTATTCACAACAGAGCATTTAACCACATTTCTTTCTTGGCCTTTCAAAAGTACATATTCTGTAATTAAGTTTCTGATTTTACAGACAATTGAGATGATATCTCAAATTAGGTTTTTGCAGTATTTAGGTTTCAGAGTAGTTGGTGTGAAATTTGATTTGATGTTGAGTTAAATACATTGAAAAATGTATTTATTTGCAATACTCAAACAATTAATATCATCTGAAAGAGAGTTTTGATTTTGGGTTTTAAATACAAACTCATTTTTCTTTTAAAACTGTTTAGTTGATCACAAACAAATTGTTAAAATAAGATAGATTTTGATTTAGGAAACAGAAGAAATCGTGGTCTGTTTTTGACAAAACCCAGAAGATTATTGTTTTTAAATGTTAAAGCACCTCAAATTATTCTCGAATTTATTTATT